CATTGAGAGTAATCTCTCTGGTAGTCGGGCCATTTTGAGAGTAATCTCTCTGGTAGTCGGGCCACATTGAGAGTAATCTCTCCGGTAGTCGGGCCATGAAATTAATCCCTCCGATATTTGGGCAGGGATGAGTATTCATCCCCTCACACCCCAAGATTGTCTTCTTCATGCGTGGATCATCTTGTTGAACAAGAAAAAATCCTTCTCGTTTGACCTACAAAAAAATGATAAAAGAAAAAAAAAGCAAAAAAAAAAAGAAGAAAAAGAAATTACCTCAAATACTAGCACTTTCCGATCCTTAAAGAAACGAACTCAAGAGCAGCTTGAAGATGCCGATAGCTGATTGATACTCAAAATATATGAGAATATGGGGTTTATATAGATTCTTCAAAGTGGATGTGGGAAAATAAATGCCGATGTGGGATGGTTGTAATCAAACTCCAAAAAGAATTCATATTGTAAGAATGATTCTCCTATTTGGGCAAGGTTACCGTGAGGCGGTGATTTATTTATGCCATGCCAAGCAAAGCTATCAAAGCTATTATACTGTCAATGGGATTCTAGTATACTAATCCGAGGTGCACACGACTCACGTAAAAGTAGGTGCACATAACTTTGACTCTTTAGACTTTGCTAGAAATTAATCCATAAGTGCTTCATATTTAGTATATGGAATTAATGAATTAATGAATGAGATATACTCTAAATAGATACTAGAAGGCCCAAAATTCAGCACAGTGTGTGATTTGCTTGACTTGGCATGGATTACAATGCAATTTCAATTGAAAAGAAAGTGATAGTCAAAGGACATGCATGTCCAACTTCAATGGGCAAATGAAACCATTTTGTTGTATTCCTCAATTAAAATGCTACTTTAGAAGTAAAACTTAATAAATTGAACGGTCCAATCGTCCTAAGCTTTGAAGACGATTCGAGTTTGTGAAAAAAATGATATTTTTATCCAAGCTACCAGCAAATGGAAATATGTCTAAATTAGTTCGTACTTCTAGACGGGATTCGGTTTCAACGAGTCTACACCTCGACAAGCTTTGAAGTAGGGGGCATTTGTAGGCATATAAAATTTATTGAATTTAAATTCAATAAGTAATTTGGATTATATTTTAAATTCAAGATATATTGGTCCAAATAAATATTATGGGCTAATATAATTGACCTAATTATATAAGTCCAATAAATATGGATTAAATAAATAAGTCTTAATCCATTGGGCTATTTATTTAATCCATTGGGCTAGCCCATTCAAATTGGGTTAAAGTGATGAGCCCATTTCATTAAACCCAAGATGTTATCTTTCTAGAGGCCCAGTTTGGTGCCACGTGTCAAATGACGTGGCGGACCAAGTCAAGCGAAAGAGCCAATAGGATCACGTCACGTGTCAAAATGACAAGGCATGCCCAGTCACACTGAAAGGCCAATAAAATCGCGCCACGTGTGCAAGTGACATGTTCTGGCCAATCAAATGCGGCCATGCCACACTTCAATTTGATTGGTCGGAAAGAGTTTGTTCTTATCACAACTCTTCCCTCCCACAAAAGGGAACCAGAAGCTATAACAAGAAGCAAGAGAGAGCTCGTGGATCAAACACCACAAATTTCTCTACAAGTTTCAGGCTTCAAGTAATCAAGTTCAAGTTCAAGAAATCAAGTTCAAGTTCAAGAACAAAGAACAAATCAAGTATTCAAGCTCAAAAACGAAGAACAATTCGAGTACTCAAGATCAAGAACGAAGTCAAATCAAATACAAGAAGTTCAAGATCAAGGCTAGTTGTTCGTGATAAAATTCGTGGCAACAATCAAAGTGTTCGTGACGGATAAATCAAATTCAAATTCAAGATAAAGCTCAAAGACCCTTGAATTTGTACAAGAAAAGTAGAATCATAGGAATCATAGAGATTGTAACGCTCAAATATTCGAAATAAAATACTACGATTGTTGCAATATCTTCGGTCTTGATTTTATTTTCTCGAAGCAAATTTATTGTCTACACTATCACAGGAATAAGAGCTATGATTGTAGACTTGAGTTGCTTGAGGAACTTGCCATTGTGAAAAAATTCTATAACTGCCTCTGTGATCTCCTGCCCCACTATAGGCCAAGCAACCTTATAGAAACCACTCCCAAAGTCATATGGTCCTGGGCTCTTGGTACTGTCAATATGGAGCACCGCCTCTTTAACTTCCTTATCCACAACTGGCATTAGCAACTCCACATGTTGAGCAGTTGACAAAGTGGGCCCATTTTTTAGAATGCTAGTAAAATCTTGGACTCTAGAGGTAGACTTCCTTCCTAATAGTTCAGAATAGTAATCCACAAACAAGTTTGCAATAGTCCCTGGATCAGTTTGCCATGTGCATGTGTCATCCTTAAGTTGCATTGTGGCTTGTTTCAGCTTCCTGTGCTTTATAATTGAGTAGAAATATTGTATGTTATCATCTCCTAGCTTAATCCACGTAGATTTACTTCTTTGTTGTAGATACATTTTTGCCAAATATGCAGACATTTTGAATTTCTGATAACCCAAGAATTCAGCCTGTTGAACCTCTTTATTTGAGGGATCCCTTTGAAGTTTCAACTGACTTTGCTTAAGCAACTTCCTGTCTTCTTCTGCTTCTCTCACAATATCATGAGAATAGTGTGACTTCAGAACCTTCAGCTTCTTCTTAAGTAGCTTCAACTTCTTCACTACTTGATACATTTTGCAGCCCTCAATACTGTCAGCCCACCCTTCTCTTATGATTATATTAAATTGTGGATGTTAAGACTGCATGTTACAGAATTGAAATGATTTTTTGAACTCAATTCTCTCCTTTACCAGTGATACTTTTGCAGGACAGTGGTCATTGATTCCTTTTGGGAGAAATATGACCCGACATGCTGGCATTACATCTAGCCACTCCTAATTTATGAACACTCAATCAATCTTTGAGAATATCCTTTATTCTTCATGTTTGTCATTCCAATAGTACCTATTGCCTTGTGCTGGTAACTCCAATAAGCCACATTCTACTACACAGTTGTGGAAATCTTTCACTTCTGCCCAAGTCACAGGGTTTCTTCCTATTATGTCTTCTGTTTTAAGGATTGTGTTAAAATCCCCTAAAACCATCCAAGGCCTTGTACATCTCCTGCTATGAGATACTAACTTATCCCACAGGTCCTTCCTCTCTTCTCTAGTATTTAATGCATAGACATAACACAATTCAAATGTCATTTGAAGAGGAATGTGATGAACTTCACACTTGATTACTTGAGCTAACATACTCATAAGAATGACCTTGTAGTAATCAGGTCTCCAAGTAATCCAAATTCTACCATTATAATGGTACTCAAGGTTTGTAAGGTACTTCCATCCCACAAACATGTTATTTGCTAGCTTCTCAATTCTGTTACTTTTTATTTTGGTTTCTAATAGACCAACCAACCCCACTCTTTCCTCATTGCAAAGGAGTTTAACCTCTTTTTGCTTATTAGGAATATGAATCCCCTAACATTCCAACTTAACATATTAACGATCCCTAAGGGGATGATTGTTTTAGCCTCCCTTATTTATGTTACTCCCTCCTTTTTTGTTATGTTGACCTCTTTACTGTGCAGGACTTGAAAAGAATTTGAGTTCTCAACTTGTTGCTGCTTTTGTTATGGTTTTCCTATGGGGTCTGCCAGCTTGTAATATCCCTTGCTTTTGTTATGCTCTCTATAATCATCAGTTCTGGTACTTGTTTCCTCCTTCCTTTGTTCAAAGTTCACCGGAATTTGTTCATTGCTCTTACTATTTTTGGGTTCTGTTTGTGCCACATTGTTCATCTCCTTATGTTGTTCTGCATTTTCCATTGCTAGTTTCTTCTTGATCCTACAAACTTCCTCTGCATGCCCATATATAGAGCAATAACTGCACAAAATTGGCTTCCAGTCATAGATGACTTTTTTTTTTGATTAACTTGCTTCTTTCATTCCGAAAGAGAACTACATCTGGTCGTTTTGCATTCATTCCTACCTCAACTAGCAACCTTGCAAAATTCATTCCATTCCTCTTTTCTATATTTTGGTCCACCATAATATGTTTCCCTACTAAGCTGCCTATCTTGCTCAAACCTTTCTTATTCCAATATTTGAAGTCCAGTCCAGGAAACTTAATCCAAAATGGAACTGTTAGCAATTCCGCTCTGCTGAATCCAAATTCAGGTGTCCAAGTCTTTACAATGAATGGTTTCATGTCAAAATGGCAAAACAACATGGTATTCACTACATATTTATTTTGTACTAGCTTACACTTCGCAAATTACAATATATATTTCATTGTATACCAAAGAGGATGAACACACATGTTGTCGGGGTAAAATCGAAGTTTCTCTACCTCGGACTGCCATGTTGCATATCAAAATGCTCCTCCTCTTGCACATTAAACAAGTTTTACAATTAACATTAACTGTCATGTCAATTGTGATATATATACACAAAAAAAAATGTGATATATATGACAATCCCGATTTATAAGTAGCATTCGACAACATCGATTTAATTATAAGTCGCATTGGGTAATAGCGATTCAAATTTGTCAATTGATATTTATAAGTCGCATTTGGTAATTGCATGCATAAGTCGCCCAATTGCGATATACAGTCCATTTAGGCCGCTCAATTTTTTTCGCTCGCTTACATTGTTACTCCCTCTGTTCCAGTTTATGTGAACATATTTCCTTTTTGGTTTGTTCCAAAAAGAATGACCCCTTTCTAAATTTGGTAACAATTTAGCTTAAACTTACAATTCTACCGTTAATGAGAAGCTTTTATAACCACACAAATACTCTGGGTCCCTTTTTGACTAGTTTAGGACCACAAATTCTAAAACTCTTCATTTTTTCTTAAGCTCCATGCTCAGCCAAAAAGGTTCACATAAATTGGAACGGAGGGGGTATATTTTATTAATTGCTCAGAAAAGTGAATAAGGAATATGTGAAAGCCGTGATTACCTTAATGAGTAACTGAAGTTTTGAACTCCCTGCAACATAAGGTATTTATAGCTATGAAATCTCAGCTATNCAATTCTACCCTTAATGAGAAGCTTTTATAACCACACAAATACTCTGGATCCCTTTTTGACTTGTTTAGGACCACAAATTCTAAAACTCTTCATTTTTTCTTAAGCTTCATGCTCAGCCAAACAGGTTCACATAAATTGGAACGTAGGGGGTATATTTTATTAATTGCTCAGAAAAGTGAATAAGGAATATGTGAAAGCTGTGATTACCTTAATGAGTAACTGAAGTTTTGAACTCCCTACAACATAAGGTATTTATAGCTACGAAATCTCAGCTATAAATTTAAAAATCGTGGCTAATACCGAACAATAGCCACAAGAATTAGAATTTCCTGGATATTTACAAATTCGTAAAATTTGCTAGCCACGAAATTAAATTCGAAAAGCTAATTCCTTATTTTTGCTATAATTGCTAACAATCGTAGCAATAATTGCCTAAATAGCTATAAATTTATTTCTACAATAAAATTGCGTAGCTAATTCATACACTTTAACCACTCATTAAAAGTTATTGTAGCAATAGTAACCTTTTAGCCACAATAAATTATTTAAATAAAATATTATAGCTAAATAAATACATTTGCTTTGAATTATAAAAAATTGTGGCAATAGGTAAATGATCTAGCCACAGATTTATTGCTATGACAAAATTATTGTATTGTTAGTTTTTGCTATAAACTGAAAGTTATTGTAGCAAAAGTAACTTTTAACCATAATAAATTATTTAAAATATAATATTATAGCTAGATAAATATTTTTGCTTCAAGTTCTAAAACATAACGACAATAATTGGCTTAATAGCTATAATTATTTTTTAATACAGACTGGTCTAGCCACAAATTTATTGCTCTGATAAAATTTCGTAGCCAATCATTAGCTTTTGCCACAAGCTCAAACTTTCTATAGTAATAATAAACTTAAAGGCCTATGAAATTATTCGAAACAAAATCTTGTAGCTAATAATGAGTATTTTTGCTTCAAACTAGAAAGAAAATAAAAATAGTTGGCTTAAAAAAATGAAAATAGTTGCCATGACAAAAATAATGAATATTTTTGCTCGATTATGAAAATCATGACAAGAGTTGTCTAACAATATTAGGTAACAAAATCGTGGACAATGGCTATTTAAACATTCTGCCCAGGCATTCAAATCCTTCTTCGCGAATGCGGTCAAAGCCTCGCGTTCGCGCAGCACAAACTTAAGTTGACCAAATTTTCCTCCTTCGCAAACGCGTCTGACCTCTCGCGAACGCGATGCCTCCAGACTCCAACCTTCGCGAACGTGGCTCCCCTTCTCGCGAAGGCAATGCTCAATGGCCCAGCCCTACACGAACGCGGGACCTCCCTCGCGAACGCGAAGGCCAAACCTTCAGCCTCACCTGCTAACCCTTCGCGAACGCGAGGCTCCACTCGCGAACGCGAAGGCCAATTGTCTGCAACACCCAACAACAGATTTCTGCAACTTTCTAAAACATGAAATGGTCCGATTGACTACCTGAAACTCACTTGAGGCCCCTGGGACCTCAACCAAACATGCCAACATAACCCATAGCATCATTAAAACTTGTTTCAATGCTCGAAACGCTCAAAACAACATCAAAACACCAAATTCGCATCGGATTCAAGTCTAAGAATTCCAAAATCTTCTAAATTACGCTTTTGATAAAAAAAAGTCTACCAAACTATGTCCGAATGACCTGAAATTTTGCACACACATCCCAAATGACAAAACAGAACTACTGCAACTCCCGGAATTCCATTCTGACCCTTATATCAAAATCTCACCTATCAACCGGAAAACGCCAAAATTTCAATTTCGCCAATTGGAACCTAAATCTTCTCTGAACCTCTAAAACATATTCCGATCACGCTCCTAAGTCCCAAATAAGCTCCCGAAGCTATCCGAACCATCGGAACTCACATCCGAGCCCTTTAACACATAAGTCAATATCTGGTTGACTTTTCCAACTTAAGCTTCCACAAAGGAGACTAAGTGTCTCAAACCTTAACAAAACCTCTCCGAACCCGAGCCAACCAATTCGATCACACATAAAACCGATAAACAAAGCAATAAGAAGCAAAAATGGGGAAAACGGAGCGGTAACTCATGAAACGACCGGCGGATCGTTACAATTACAATAATATAAAATATGAGTTTGAGAACTCATATTTTATATTATTGCAATGTGCATGTCATATACTCTATTACTTTTAAATAAGTTTACCTTTTTATTTCAAAAAAGTATTCATATTGAGGACTTTAATTGTTGTAGGATATTTATGTATATGGTCCTTAATAATTTTTACATCACTTAATATATATATATAAGAAGTCATTTTTAAATTAGCGCTCATATATTAAAGAGCTTTGTTGAGGGAGGTTTGGTGCATTTAGTTTTGATAAATGACCAAAGGCTCTAATTATATACAAGAAACATATTTAGTACTACAAGAAAATAATAAAAATCTTAATAAAAATTGATATTTCGTAGCTGCATAATCACGGATTTACAATGAATTTATGGTTTCATCACTAATTAAAATTTTTATATTGAAATAATAAGTTTTACAATTAATAATAAAATTTATTGCTAATTTTTGTCCCCATATATGATGACAAATTAAATTTAAAAGCATGATTTTTATCTTAACATTATT